CGTGGGCCATGGAAGAGAAAGGAGAGAGAATGGTCAAAACCCATGGGCTTCAATGGTCGTATTGGAGGAAGCTGGGTGAAGGGGACGTGGGGATTGCCTGTGTTATAAAGATTCCAAGAAAGACAAACAAATGACCCCTAGAGGCTGGAATGGCGGTCCCTCACGGGCAGCACCGACAGGGAAGAGGCATGAGCCGCCTTCTGATCCTGAAGACATCCGACTGCCTGTGGTGGGTGGTGGGTGGGTGAGGGCTCCCCATCAGAAATGCTGCTGCTCTCGTTGGTGTGTGTGCCGGGGCGGTGGGGCGGTGGGGGGGGCGGCAGGCTGAAGGGGGAGGTTCAAGGTCTCTCCCCACACTCCGATCATCCTAATGCACAGTCAAGATGTGGGACTAGTAGTGCATGAAACAGGATTCCGGTCGTTTTTGAACTCAATCCCAAACGCACCGCCGTCTAGGGGATGTCCACACCTAGAGCCCCTACAGGGCAGGGCAGAACTGCCCCTGCGGGCTTTCCGAGACTGTCAAGCCTCCTCTTTCTCCTGAGGAACAGCTGGTGGTTTCGAACTGCCAACCTAGCAGGCCCAAGTGCAGCCACTCTGCCCCCAGGGCTCCTTAGGTGCGGCAGTAAAGCACCTGTAGCTCCTTGCTTACTCATTTGCATATGCAGAGCAGGGGAGCAGCTGGACAAGACCGGTTGCCTGCGATGGCTGACCATGAGCGTGAACATAAGAACCACCATGAGGCTGGCCCAGGACTGGGCAGCGGCTGCTCCGCTGCCCAGATGGTCGCTCTGAGTTGGAAGCGACTTCACAGCTCCTGACCACATTTGCAGAGGGTACGCTGAACTGACCCCCAACAGAGCCACCTACTCGAAGTGGGACTGAGGAGGGCTGGGGGCTCACCCCATGCTCCTGCGGACAGTTTCAACGCTTGTCCCCAATGAGGATCGCGTTGCGGGTACACATTGTTCTGCCTGCTCTGCTGGGCAAAGAGGGGGCTGACTGCTCTCAAAGATTTATAGTCTCCCATCGGTCAGTGTAAGACATGAAAAAAATTAATAAATTATCGAGGGTGCATGAGGGAGGGAGGACGGGGGATGAGCTGATACCAAGGGCTCAAATAGAAAGAACATCTTTTGACATGGATGATGGTAACATATGTACAAATGGGCTTGACCCAAATGTACTTGGATGGATTGTGATAAGCGCCGTGCGAGCCCCCAATAAAGTGATTTTAAAAAGAATGATAGTCTCAGAAACCCACGGGGGCAGTTCTACTCTGTCCTACAGGGTCGCTATGAGTCAGAATCGATTTGATTGAGTTGTCTTTTTCTTTCTTTTTAGATAACGGCTCGTCAGAATGCACTCGGAGAGGATTTACTTGACAATATCTAAGAACAACCCACAGGGTCTGCCCCGAGCGGACACACAGTGCCGGGGTGGGGGTGGCGTGGGGGGGCTTGCTCTCTGGAGAAGGGCTGCTTTCAGGGCTGGAGCAGGAGACCCAGGGTGGTCGCAGAGCATCTCAGAGGGCTAGAGAGAGGGTGCTCCTAAAAGAGCACCGACCTGCAAGAGCTCCTGAAGGCCGCAGCCAGGATCACGGGAGCAACAGAACAAGCCGCGATGCCGCTGTTGTTGCCGTCCGGGTGGTCCCAGCGCATAGCAACCTCATGCCCCACAGAGCGGAGCACCGGCCTGCCCCCACCACCCTCCCGAAGGTTGCCATGGTCCAGCCCACCTTATGGGGCGGCTGCCTCTCTTTTGCTGGCCCAAATCATGAGAGTGTTGGCTTATGCACTCCAGACGGGGGACAATGTGCCCGCGACTTGATGGTGGCCTGAAAGTGGGGGGAGGGGGAGCAGAAGGGACGCTTCTTTTTTGCCAAGGGGATTCCAATGAGGAAATGCAGGATGAGTGAGAGAAATAGAGAATCCCCACCTGAGCCCCACCGAGGAGTCCTGCTGGCGTAGTGCTTACTCATTGGGCTGCTAACCATCAGGCCAGCAGTTCAAATCCACCAGCCCCTCCGAGGGAGAACGACAGGACTTTCTACTCCCGTTAAGAGTTACCGTCTCGGACACTCACAGGGACAGTTTTACCTGGGTCCCGGGTGTCGGCAGTGGGTTTGAATCGAGGGAGGAAGTGACAGGAGCCCTGGTGTCAGGTTCCAGGCACCAAACCCACAGCCATCGGGTCCATGGCTGTTGTCGAACTAATTCCGACTCACCAGGACCCCCTGGACAGAGTAGACCTGCTCTGGGGGGTTTCTGTGACTACAAATATTTGGGGAGCTGACAGCCTCATTTTTCTCCAGCAGAGCAGCTAGGGGTGGGGGGGTGTTGGCTCACCAACCTCGGGGTGAGCAGTAGGCACTTAACCCACAGTGCCACCAGGACTCTTCACGAAATGCGCAGAGGCGAGGAGCCGGGGCTCCCCACACCCGCCATACTCACAGCGGACCCCGTGATGATGTGCACAGGAGCCCGGGGGTTGGTGTAGGGCGTCACTCGGCTGCCATTAAACACCTGGAGGGAGAGACAGAGTCAGGTCACAGGGCATCTGGCCGGGCGCCCCTCCCTTGCCACCAGCCGCGAGGGCCCTGGGCCTCCCGGTGCCTCACCTGGTAGTTGTAAATTGGCCACAGCCGTTCATACGAGTGCTCATGAGCCCACAGCTCCAGGTCGACCCCTGATTCACAGCAAATGGGGAATGGAGGGATCAGGTCTCTGCGTCTGGGAGAGGTGGGGGCCGGGGTGGGATAAGGTGGGAGGGGGGGGTGTCCCAGCGTCCACTCACCGTATTTGTAGAACAGATCCTCCAAGCCATACAATCTTCCCAAGAGGCCTTTGCGGACCTGGGAAAGATGAGCCAGGAGATGATGGAGGGGGTCCCCCGCCTGCTGTGGCCCCACCGCCCCAGAAGAAGAGTCCTCACCCTGCTCTCGTGACTACGACAGTCGTCCAGGTCGGCGTTGGAGCAGTACATGGGCCGGTGCCCCATGGTGATGATCCACGGCCGGGCTGCTCGGTTCTGGTTGGCTTTCTAGAGAGAAGGGTGCAGAGTGAGGAGGCGGGGCTGGGCGGATGGGGCGGGGCTGAGAGCTGGAGGGGCGGGGCTGGAGCAGGCATGGGGCTGGGGGGGATGGCTGGGGGACCCAAGGGGACCTCCAGTCAGCTCACCTGGAGGTCACTCTCCAGCCAGCGGAACTGTCTCTCCATCATGTGGGTGCCGTAGTGGAGAAAGAAGTAGACCTCGGTGGAGAAAGAGATGATGTGGGCAGGGCCCAGGTCCCAGCTGGCGCGGTGAAAAGGCAGATTCAGAGGTGGGGTCTCCTCCAGGGGAGGGAGCCCAGGCCCCCAGCCCCAGCCCCGGGTTACCTGTACCAAAGGCCCTCCGTGTTCCCCGGCATACTGAAGCGAGCCTTGTAGTTAGAGAAGTTGCTGCAGAAAGCAAGTACCAAGGTGGGGTGGGGGGCCTGGCTGCCAGTGCTCCACCCCCCACCCCATCCCCACCGTCAGGCCCAGAGTCCGGCTGGCTCCCGGCCTGCGGGAGGCTAACAAGGCAGCCCCACTCTCCTGTCCACGGTCACCACCAGCGAGGAGCTACGGTTGGAGAGACTCCGCCCACATCACAGATCCACCCACTCCACCCAAGGCAGCCACCCATCCTGCCCCTGCCGCCCCGCCCGCAGCAGCTCCGGGTCCTCACTAGCGTTGTTCGTGGTTCCCAGGACAAGTCATGTAGGGCAGGCTGGCGGCCAGGGGCTCGATGAGTCTCATGAACTTGTCCCCCACGCGGGCGTTGTCCTCGTCCATGTTGTAGGCAAAGTCTCCTGAGGAGGGGCGTGCAGGGAGGGAGGGAGGACTCAGACCTGGCTCTCTTTGAGCCCCATACAGGGAGCTGGTTGCAGCGGTGTGGGGGGCTGTACAACCCTGGGCTTTCCAATAAGTCCAATCCCCTGATCCCTACCTCACACCCACCCTCACTGACTCCCGGAACTGATCCCTAAACCTCCAGTCTCCTTGATGCCAGTCTCTCGGAGGCTGATGCCCAGAGAGGGACAAAGTGCTTGCCCACGTGAACAGAGCTGGTCTGTGAAGATATCAGAGTCCAATTCCAGGTGTCGGATTCCAGAATCTGCACGGGAACCATACTGACCCAAATCTCCCCCTGACCCCCGGAAGGGCAAGGATAACAACAGGCACTCCTTGAGCAGAGTCAACATGCCAGGCGGTGGAATTGCTCCGCAGTGTTTCTAAGACTTTAAATCTTTACAGAGCAGAGAGCCTCATCTTTCTCCCGCTGAGCGCCTAGTGGATTTGAACTGCTGAATTTGTGTGTCCAGCGTTTTTCCCACCAGTGGCACCAGGGCTCTTACCTAGGGCTGTAGTGAGGGTTAAAGGCTTCACACTTACAGCTTATTTCATCATCACAACAAGTCTATGAATTCTGATCCAACGACACAGAGGTAACAACCCAGCCATCCAGATCTACGGCTGGGTGTTGGGATTCAAGCTGGGCAGGATGATAAGCCAGCCGTTGATCCCCCAGGGCCAGCCTCATCCAGCCTCATTCCCCACCGCCTCCATCTCACCACAGTCCACCCCCTTGTGCCTCCAGGCACCTTGCCGAAGCCTCACCCACATGGAGAACAGCGTCGTACATGCCCTGCTGTATGTCCCTGCGTAGCCGGGGGAGAGCCTTTGGGTTTTCGGCCCCCAGGTCCCCAAACACTGCCAGGCGGGGGCTCCAGTGGGTCCCTTTCTTTAGGGTCCTGAAGCGGAACGGACGGCTCCAACCCTGGGCGCTGCCACAGCGGTAAACTGAGGCAGAGAAGAGGGTGGAATTCAGTCGGGGGTGGGTGGGGGAGAAGGGAAGGGGGAGATGCCCAGGACCCTCCCACCCCCACCCATGTTCATTGAGCAGAGGCAGAGCAAGTATCCACCTCTCCTCGGGACCCCCAAACCTTCCTTTTCAGTCCAGGGGCTCAGACAATTGGCTTGCAGATAAGCAGAGGTGTCACCAGCACAGTCTCAGCTTCTAGCCCACACCCCAACTTCTCTCTCCGAACGCCCTTGGCAGCCCGGGACCCTTCTCACCATACTGGACCCCAGGCAGCAGCCCCCGAAGGACCACCCGGTGCATGTAGAGCTTCCGGCGCTGAAGGCCCCCGTCCACAAAGAGGCTGGAAGTGCCATGGGCCCGGAGGGGCAGGGGCCCTGAGAGCTGCAGCCCAAACTGTACTTCTGAGCGGGTAGGGACCCACGTGGTCCAGGTGACCGTCATGGCACCCGGCTCATCTGAAAGGAAAGGAACAGAGGGGACGTCAGGGAGGGGCTGCCGAGGGAATGGGCAACAATAACTGCCACCCCTCGCGAGCTTTGTCCTTAAGAAGTTCACTCTCTGCTCCTGCATTTCCTTGGGCCAAGTCGCTGCCCCCTTCCGAAAACAAAATAACAGTCCCTACCTCGCAAAGGGGAGTGAGCGTGGCCGCATGTGTGGGTGTCTGAGGAGCCCTGCTGCAGCAGTGGTTGTGCACCGGGCTCAAGGTCAGCAGTTTGAAACCATCAACCGCTCCGAGGGAGAAAGATGAGGCTTTCTACTCCTGTAGAGACCTACTGTTTCAGAAACCCACAGAGGCACTTCTACCCTGTCCTAGGAGTAAGAATTAAACTTCCAGGCAATAAGGTGGGTTGGTTTATTTTCTGTTTTGGTTTGGTTTGACCCCACAAACTTGTGAGGAGGCGTAGATGAGTAGATGCAAGTCAAATATGCCTGGCACATCGTTAGGGTCCCTGGGTGGTGCAGATGGATAAGCGCTCAGCTACAGAAGGATGGGGGTCCCAATCCACTCAACCGCGCCTCCGAAGAAAGGCTTGGTGCACTGTCTCCCCGAGGTCCCGGCTGTGGACGCCCCTGAGGAGCACCACCGTGTCTGACATGCAGTTTGGGTGCGATGTGTTCACCCGCCCATGCCAGTGTCTCCACGCTGACTCGGAGCTGCCCCCTGTGGAATCCACAGGGACTGTAAATCTTTACGGGAGCAGAAAGCCTCCTCTTTTTCCCTCAGAGCGGCTGCTGGTTTCAAACTGCTGACCTTCAGATGAATGCATAGCCACTTCTCCAACAGGGGGTCCTCACAAACCCAAACTCACTGCCACCAAGTCCGTGTGGGTTCATCGCAACCCTGGAGGACAGGGTAGCACTGGCCCCTGTGGCCGTTCTGAGTCCGTAACTCTTTATGGGAATAGAAAACCTCATCTTTCTCCACGAGGAGCAGGGTAGCTTTCGAACTGCTGATCTTGTGGTAACCATCATCCCCTCTGCCATCAGGGCTCCTCACATGTGAGTTAGCTGTTATTAGTATTGTGGTTGACTGGGTGCAGGCCAAACGGTTTATTTTTCACACACGTGACATTAATTAGACATTGTGGATTCAGGTGTGTGGAGCCAGCTAAGTCACCTGGGCAGGGCCCAGGGCAGCTCTCGGGCAGCCGGACCGGTGTGGAGCATAGAAGATGGATGGCAGAGACAGACAGCCATCACTCAGGGGAGGTGGGTGGGGTATAGGGCCCAGGAAGGAAGCAGGCCCAGCGCGGCCAAGCCTTTGGACCATTCCGGAGTAATATTTACAAGGTGCCCTGGTAGCAGAGGGGTTATGAGTTGCGCTGCAAACGGCAAGGTCAGCAGTTCCAACCCCAGCCGCTCCGCAGGAGGAGAAAACGAGGCTGTTGACTCCCGTCAAGAGCTCGTCGGTGAAACCGACAGGGGAGGTTTGACCCTGGCCTCTAGGGCCGCCGTCAGTCGTAATCGACTGGAGAGCTGGGTTTTATGCACCTCCATATGTTTAAGGCATCTCTTCAATGTCATCAATGATGCGAGCGCTCACATTAAGATGGTAAAACACCCAAGCGCGTAACGCCTGGGTACAATTGTGTGAAGACCCAGGGTCCTTGGTCCTTGGAAAACGCATACCTACAAGATGTTTTACGGCCGCGTGGTTTCTTTTTTTTTTAATTTTATTAGGGGCTCATACAACTGTTATCCCAATCCATACACACATCAATGGTGTAAAGCGCATTTGTACATCATTCTCAAAACATTTCCTCTCCACTTAAACCCCCGGCATTAGGTCCTAATTTTTCCCCTCCCTCCCCGCTCCCCCCTCCCGCATGAGCCCTTGATAGTTTATAAATGGGTATTTTGTCATATCTTGCCCTGTCCGACGTCTCCCTTCACCCACTTTTCGGTTGTCTGTCCCCCAGGGAGGAGGTCACATATAGTTCCTTGTAATCGGTTCCCTCTTTCCTACCCATTCTCCCTTTACCCTCCCTGCCTCGCCATTCACACCACTGGTCCTGTAGGGCTCATCCGCCCTGGATTCCCTGTATTTTCAGTTTCTATCTATACCAGTGTACATCCTCTGGTCTAGCCAGACTTACAAGGTCGAATTCGAGTCATGGTAGTGGGAGCGGGAGGAAGCATTTAGGAACTAGAGGAAAGTTGTATTTCTCATCGTTGTTACATCGCACCCTGACTGGCTTGTCTCCTCCCCGAGACCCCTCTGCAAGGGGATCTCCAGTGGCCTACTAATGGGCTTTGGATCTCCGGCCACGTGGTTTCTAAAGCAAAATATAGCAAGTTAGCCGAGACCTCACGTGCAGAACAAGGACGGGCGTAGACAAGGCCGGGGCCACATCAGCGCAGGCGCGTGCATGCGCACCGTGAAAGAACGAGGCCCGGCTCTGTGAACTGGCGTGGCGCGATCACCAGGAGGTAGTGTTACATTCCAAAAGCAAAGTGCGAGAACATCTTATTGTCAGCTACCCTTTGTGTCAGGGCTGGGGCGCGGCTGCACAGGTAGGTGACTGCATTTGTTAAGAGAAATGCAGGAAGAGGTGGCTTGCTTACCGGGTGGGTGGGAATGGGGTGGTTAAGAAGGCTGATGGGAGCGAGCTTCCCCACCTCTTTTGTCCCTCTCCCCACTCTTAGGACGTTTGGATGTTAGTCACGCTACGCATTCCCGTCACACACACACCCCAAAATAAACGAATGATGATCGGAATGTGGGGGCGCCCCATAGAGAAGACAAGCGCCAACCAGCGGGCCTAACTCTGAAAAGACAAGAACCCTGTGTGAAGGGCGGTGGAAGAATTCAGGCAGCACGGTTCATGGTCAAGGTCGACTGACAGGATGAACACGCATGAATGACACTGTGACCTGTGCCTGTGAAGACTGTTGACACCGCTGTTTGGTTCTCAGTATCTTTCCCATCATCCAAAGAAAGAAACAAAACAGATCACATAATTACTCCCACCGCCCCCAAGGAGAGGGATGGAGAGGGCTGAACTCTGTGTGTGTGTGTGATTGTTGTGCAAGGCCAGGGGCAACAACAACAACAAAAAACACTGTACACAGATGCCGTCATACGGCAAACCTTTCTTGCAGGGGGACCGTAGGCGATTCTGGAAGGGCTTTCTGTGTGTCTTAGAACGGAACAGACAAGTAAGTGTACCACAGAGAATGAGAACCAAGTGTCTCCGGGTGGGGGGAACACAGCACCAGCAAACGAAGGCCCCAGCCCCCAGGTCGGTTCTGGTGCATAGTAACCCACTATGCCAGAGTCTATGGGGTTTCCAAGATCTGTCCATCTTGACCCGAGCAGACAGCCTCGTCATTTTCCCCACAGTGTCTCTGGGGGCAATGAACCACCCCTAGCCCACAGCGCCACCATGTGTTGGGACTAGAATGAACCCTTGGGGCTGGGCTAACATCAGAGGTCTCCGTGTGAGCTCCTCAAATGTAATATACCAGGGGGCTTCAAAAGGTCCACGAGAGGGTGGGGGGATTCCATTCACTTTTAACTCTTTTCAACAAACTTTCTGGGGCCCTCTTGTACATCCAGATAGAAACATAGATGTGAGCATGCGCACGCTCGCGTACAGCCCGGCACCGCTGTCTCTACTTGCTGATGGGAAGCAGAAGCAATGACAACCCAGTAATATCAAGTGCACCCAGTGCTCAGATCTTGGTCTCTCCATACCCCCATTCCCCAAGAGGCCGGAAATATACAAGACGAGCCTGGAACAATCTGGGGTGCTGCCAAACTAAGGAAGTACCCTCCCCCCCCACACACACACATACACCAAATGATGGCGGTCTACAGCCATATACCCTGAGCGTAGCTGAGTGTGTCTGACCTGAGAAGCTAAGCAGAGCCAAACGTAAACTCAATGCCACCACCGAGAGGATTCCGACTCGCAGTGACCCTATAGGACAGGGTACAACTGCCCCTGTAGGTTTCTGAGACCAACCCTTCACAGTAGTGGAGAGCCTCGTCTTTTTCCCACTGAGCAGCCGGTGGTTTCAAACTGCTGACCTGATGGTTAGCAGCCCAACTCGTAACCACTACGCCACCAGGGCTAAGCAGGGTGGGGCCTGATGAAAACCTGGACAGGACACTGCCGGGTATTGAATACTGGGTGCAGGCCTCTTTCAGGGGTCTCTGGGTGGCATGAACAGTTAGGTGCTCAAGGATTAACCCAAAAGCTGGGCGTTTGAACGGACCCAGAGGTCGCTCAGAAGAAAGGCCTGGGGATCCGCTTCTGCACGGTCCCAGCCTCAAACCCTGCAGAGCGCGGATCTACTCTGCACACGCAAGGCCGTCACCAGCTGGGATGGAGTCCAGAGCAGCTCGTCGGGCGTGTGGTTTTCGCGTTGGGTTTTGAAGGCTTTCGACAGAAAAAGACAAATGCTTGATGAGAGAACTCAGGAGCCAGCCGGAAGGCGTCCCCAAGGGCCACTCAAACCAAACCAAACGCACTGCCCTCGAGTCCACGCCGGCTCTCGCAGCAACCCCATAAGGACCGGGTAGAACGGTCCCGGTGAGTTTCGGAGACTGTCTCTCTTTACAGGAGTAGAAAGCCTCTTCTATCTCCCGAAGAGCTGGCTGGTGGTTTCAAACAGCTGACCTTGCAGTTGGTAGCCGAACACATAACCACTAGGCCACTTGGGCTCCTTCCAAGGGCCAAAGCTGGCACAGCCGGAGCAGCAATCCCACTGGACGTTAGCCCGTAGAATGAAAGAAGTTTCCATGACATCGGTTCGTACCGTTATAAGTAAGTAATGGATTAACTACATTTCAAGGGGCGAGAGAGGTAGGTTTCCTTGGCAGTAAGATCTCAATGCAAAGAAAAGAGAGAATTCAAACATCACCATTAGGCAGGCAGCCCAGTGATCGTAACTGCAGACAGGAGCTAAAGTCAGTGGGCAAAACAATTGAGGAGAAACAGAATTGGTGGCGTCTCCAGAGAGCTATTCCAAGACAGAATGAACCACAAAGGAAAGAACCGTGTGGTGGAGAGACCCAGCAGGGATCGAGGAGACCCCATTCGCCTCAGGAGCCCCCTGCCGCCGTGCCCCGAGAGGGACACAGCACCACATGCTTGCCAAGGCTACTCAGAGCCAAGTTCGCCACGAGAAAACACCAGGTAAACCACAGCTGAGCAACGTTCTGTGAAATCCCTGGCCCCAAACCAAACTCACTGCCTCAGAGTTGATTCCCAGGGAGAGCGGCCCTACAGGGCCGAGTGGACCCGCCCCTTTGGGCTTTTAAGGCTGTGACTATGGGGCAGAAAGTCTCCTCCTTCGCCTGAGGAGTGGCTGGTGGGCTCGAACTGCTGACCTTTCCCATAGCCGCCCAACACAGAACCCACTCCATGACCAGGCTCCTGAAATCACGGATCCAAAAAAACCCAAACAAACCTAAAGTCGATTCTAACGTACAGCTTGGTCCTGTAGGACAGGGTCCAACTGCCCCTGTGGGATTCCAAGACTGTAACTCGTTATGGGAATAGACTGGTCGGCATTCCCAAAATGATATCTGCCTCGTGAAGACAGAGAGCTGACCAACAGGAGGAGGCTATGGAGCGAGAGAAGCTAGAGTCCACCCCAGGAGCCACGGAGGAAAAGCCTGGCGATCTAAGGCTGAAGAATCGGCCCTGGAAACCCCACACAGCGCCCAGTTCTGCTCTGCCAGCTGAGAGTTTGCCAAGAGTGGGGCTCAACTCAATGGCAACTGGCTGGCGGGACAGATCAATGCAGCACAAAGTGACATCTGGGATTGGATCCTGGAACAGAAGCATGTCACTGGTGGTCAAAATGCCCACCATTCCAATAAGGCCCGCCGTCTGGTTCGTGGTCATGTACCAGGACTGGTGTCCTGCTAGTGCTGTAACACCAGGGTACAGGAGCTGTAGCATCTCTGCTGTCTGAGCTAAAGTCTAGAGTTGCTCTTGTTAGGGGCCTCCGAGTCTGTTCCGCTGGCTCCTAGCACCCCTACGGGCAGCAGACAGGCATGCTGCCTGGTCCCGGGCAGCCTTGTGAGCCTTGCTATGTTAGAGCCCATTGTTGCTGCTGTCAAGCATCTCATTAACATTTCTAGAAATAAAGGATTTAGGCTTGATCCAGCCAGTCTAAATTCCAGATTCAGGCTGGGTGACCTGGGGGCAATTAATCATCCTCACCTCTGTTAGCCTCAACTTTCCTCTTTTGTCAAATGGGCGTAGCCATGATGCCAACAACTGAATATTGAGCGAGGTTATCCACAAAGGCACTTTGTAAGAGAACATTTGCTGCTATTATTTCGCCCAACCGCCCAGGTCAAACAAAAGTCAGCACTCAGCAGGTAAGAGCCTGATGGCTTTTCACACCAGCCCCTTATTGTCCCTTCCCAGATTACAGAGGCCTCTAGGTGAGGTGACTTCTTCAAGCAAGTGCCAAAGCCAGTTCATTCATACAGTTTCTGATTCCAACCTGCAACTCTGTGACTAACCTCTAAGAGCAAGTTGCTTTTAAAATGTCAAGGACACAAAAGACAAGGAAAGGCTGAGACGCTGTGGCAGAGAGGAGGGGACCGGAGACAGAGAAAAGAAATCCAGCAAGGGTTCCTGGCTCCAGACGCAGTGGAAAATGCGGTGGGATCTGAATCATGGACAAAGCTTTCATTTGTAGCATTCTACCCAGAGCTCACGTCTCCGTTTGGACCTCGGGATAATATTAACATCAGGGGGAGCCAGGTGAAAGGGGTGTGGGCACTCTAGACTTCCTTTGCTACTTGTCGGTCGTTCGGACATCATTTCAGACTGAAAGCAAAAATCTTGCTGAGAAAGTTACTGCTGGTGTGGAATCTAAGAAGACTAGGCAATTGGCTATTCTTGCAGGTATGAATACATCACCCAGAGCAACACGTGGCAGCAGACCCCATGCAGAGGCAGAGATGAGGGTTCTGTTCCTGAGCAGACGTACGCCGGAACCAAACTCACAACCGTAGAGTCGATTCTGGCTCACAGCAAGCCCGTGGGACACCGCAGCGACCCTGTGGCTTCAGGCACTGTACCTCTTTGCGGGAGCAGAAAGCCTCATCTTTCTCCTGCAAAGCAGCGGGTGGTTCTGAACTACTGAACTTGTGGTTAGCAGCCCTTCTCCTAACCACCAGACTCACAGAGAAGTAAAGCAGTGCTCCGCTTCATACACACACACACACACACACAAACACACACACACACACACACACACAAAACAAAAAACGCGTCTTTTGTTTTGTCAAATTCGGTTCTTTTTCGGAAGACGTCATTTATCTGAATAGATACTAGGTTCACTCGTCATCTTAAATAACCACAAAATACTTTTCATTTCTAATAAGGCAACTTGGCAGCCGTCATGCCAGTAAACAAAATCTCTTTGAGCGTCTCATTACTTTTTTGCAGTTTAAAGGGGTCCCAAGACCAAATGGTATGAGGACCACTGACTGCTGCCCATGGTGTGCAGTGGGCTACAGGGTGGTCTGTTAACCATAACGTCAGTAGTTCGAAACCACCAGCTGCCTAGAGGGAGAAAGACGAGGCTTTCTACTCTCATAAAGAGTTACAGTCTCAGAAGCCCACAGGGACAGATCCACCCTCTCCTATAGGGTTGCTAAGCGTTGGAACTGACTCGAGGGCAGTGAGTTTGGTTTTGTTCCCCCTCAAATACCGTTCTACCTCCTCCCAGGCTGTCACTCGTTTACTCCTCACCAGACCACTGTGCAGCCGGGCTTCTACCATCCCACTGCTTAGATGAAGAGGCAGAGACCAGAGAGGTTAATTCACTTGCCCAAGGTCACACAGTAGGTTAAAAGTAGCAAAGCTGGAATTCCAACCCAGGTAATTTGGGTCCAGAAGGACCAGAGTTCACCTTTGATCTCTCTAGGGCATCTCAGCCCTCATCTGGATCACACGGAGGAGGAGGAGGAGGAGGAGGAGGAGGAGGAAGAGGAGGAAGGGTGGGGGTGGGGGACAGCTAAATCACCTCATTCTGTCACCAATTCACTCATTGACAACTGCCCTGTTCGGGACAGACTGTGCGCTAACATGTGGGGCCACAGAGACAGGACAGTGAGACCATGAGCAGGGACAATGCCAGCCCCTTCTGGCTCTAGGCTGGGCACCATGACCATTTCCCAGGCTGTCCATCAGAGGCACCCTAGCTACAATCCCCATTTAACAGAAGCAGACAACCAAGGCTCGGGAAAGACAAACCACCTGCCTAGAGTCCTGAGGCAATCACCCCGTAGGCTTCCAGGGAGGCGCCTGGGAGACTTACCTGGGTAGGACAGATGGACTTGCTCGGGAGCAGCTGTGGGTGCCTCAGGGGCCCCCTGGACTCCCAGGGAGAAGACAGTGAGCAGAAGACAGCAGGCCCAGCAGGGACCAGGGAGGCACATGGTAGGGGAGAGGGCTGGGGGCAGAGAGGAGAAGGGGAGGGGTGTGCGGGTGATCAGACAGGTCAGGGCCAGCAGAAGGCCTGGGAGGATGGAGGATGGAGGCGATCAGGCGATGGCAGGGTCTCAGAAGGTCCTCCCGGGGGTGGTTGCCCAGCTGCTGGGGAGAGAAACCAGACTGCGTGTCACTGCCGTGGCAGCCTGCCCCTCTCTAAGGCTCCGTGCTCACGTGGGTCATCCTGGGCCGTCTCACTGCATTCCTATGAGGTGGCTGCTGCTAGCATCCTCACCCCCATATCTCAGGTGAGGCAACCTCAGGAACCAGGGATTAAGTGGCACTACTCGGATGTGGGAGCCCAGGCAGGCCTGGTTCTTAAACATAATTCGTTTGGCTTAGGGCACAGGTTCGGGGGTGGGCTGGGGGCTCCATGCAGGAAAGTGCCCTTGACAACACACCCCCCCCCCAACTTCCATTGCCTCTTCTCCTTCATCCCTCAATCCCCAGCCTTTCATCTTGCCCTCAGGGACACCCCCACCCCGTACTCCTCCCCACTCCATCCTCACCTTGGCCTTAGTTATCCCAGTTCCCCCAACTCCAGCTCCAGACCCCCAGCACCCCATCTTGCGCCGTGTGGCCCCGGTACAGGCTCCCAGTATCCTCGCCTACTCTTACGGACCCCATTTCCTCTTTCACCACCCGTACCCCACAGCACCCCATCCTGACTTTAGGGATCCCAATCGCCGCATCCCACCTCCACTTCTCCCCCATCCTGCTCCTGCAAGCCACCCTCCCTCCCCTCCCCGGAGCTCCGCCCACTCAGCTTGGCTTCCAGAGGCCAAGGACCTGCGGGACGGAGCCTGCAGGGCCGGAGCTCAGAGGCCAGGAGCTGGGGTGGGGGACGTCCCGGGAACCCTCGGCTCACCCTGGGGGCGCAGCTGCCCCGCATGCGTCTCTCTGCGCCAGTCCCGCCGCGCTATTTATGCCTTTGCAGCCGCCGCCGCCGAAGCCTCCGCCGCCCACAGCAGTCCCAGCCCCGGAAAACCGGCCACCTCGGGGTGACGGGCTCCCCAGACAGCTGGGCTCCCGGGTCCCACAGGTCCGGCCGGTCTCTGGCGCCCCACGCCCACCCGCCCGCGCCCCCGGGGCGGGGCGCGGGGAGGGGGACTCCGGAAGGCTTGGTAGGACAGCGCTGCCGCCGCCGGCACCTCCGAGGCAGCCACCAGGTGAGCGCCCGGACAGGTAAGGTTGCTCCCAGGGGAGGGGGCTGTGAGCTGGGCGCCCCAAAGCGACCCTGCGGAGCCCACAGGGCACGGACTCTGGCACCTGGCCCCCACCCGCGGCCCTGGCAGATCCCAGGGTCCCAGGTGTGCGGTTCAGGCACCTGTGACCTCAGGGGGGATTTCCCCATCCTTTTCCCTCCAGGACCACATCCTTCCCTCTGAGATCCTTCCGCCTTCCACTTCTCCCGCGCTGACCCACTAACTCCTCCCCGGGTTCCCAGGGCGTCCCCAAAAACAATAAAAGCAGCATCTTAGAGTCAGGGCCCTTGATAGGCGGTGCGTCCATTGACAGCATTACCTGCCCTCAACCTCCACGGACCTGGCTTTCTGACCTGTGAAACGGAGGTGGCAGTAGTCCAGACCCCACAGGCTGCCGGGAAGATTCAGTGAGTTCGCGTCGGAAAGGGGCCTTGGGCACAGCCTGGCGCGAGTGAGGGCTGGGTGAGAACGGGCACTGATGGTCGGACCATTCATAGTGCCTGAAGCCCAGAAACCATCCGCCACCCTGCTTCTGTCAACGTTGGTTGCTGTTGGAGCCCAGTGTCCCCAAGCACACTAAGAGGTTCCCAGACCATGGAGGGGGGGGGTGTCCCCTTTGTTTTGGGGTTTTTTTCTGCCTTAAATATTGTTCTCTTTTACTTATGATTTTTATTTTTGACATTTTATTGAGGGCTCTTACAGCTCTTGTAACAACCCATACATCAATTTTATCAAGCACATGTGTACATATGTTGCCATCATTATTTCCTAGATATTTATTTTCTATTGAGCCTTTGGTATCAGCTCCTCTTTTTCCCTCCCTCCCTACCCCCCTCATGGCCCCTTGGTAAATTATAAATTATTATTGTTTTCATACCTTACACCCACCGCTCTCTCTCTTCCCCCACAGTTTCTGTTGTTCGTCTCCCCCTGCCCCTGGGGGGCGGGGTGCAGTTGTGTGTCTGATCATCAAGATCAGTTCCCCCTTCCTCTCCTGTTTTTTTTTTAAGCTTCTCCGCCCCCCCATATCCTCAGATAGAAAAACCAAACTCATTGCCATCGAGTCCATTTTGACCCAGAGTGACCTCATAGGACAGAGGTCACTAGAGCCTCTGCTACTGTAAATCTTTATGACAGCAGAGAGCCTCATCTTTCTCCCTCATGCCAACTGGTAGGTTCGAACCCACTACACCAACAGAGCTCCTCTGTGGATACAATGACAGGGAATTGGGGCTTTTTAATTTCAGAGTCCAGCAGCCTGCAGATTGAGGACATCCGTTTCAGGTCATGGCTGTGGAAGGCGGGGAGGTTCAAGACTTGGCAAACTTGATGCCGTTTGGATTTTTCCCTTGTCTGGAGTCCCCAAGACAGCTTGAACTATAATAAATAAACTAGCAACTCTCTTCACGGCCCGTGGCTGCGTTCAACAGCACCAATGTACAGTGTGCTGCTATGTGCCGTCTTTCTGATGCTCCAGACCCAAGGGTGCTTCTCCCGGTGTGTGTGTGAGCCGAAGGCTGTGGATGGGTGCTGACTGTCTTCTGGGCACCATTTTCCCATGTATGAAATAAAGGTGGACTCTTTGACAGAGGAAACCGAGGACACTGAAATCCGGACAGAAAAACCTTGAGAAAAACAAATAGCTCATCAGGAGAAGCCCACTATGGTCTTTACTCAGGAACCCTGGTGGCACAGTGGTTTCGAGTGGGGCTGCTAACCACAAGGTCAGCAGTTCGAAACCACCAGCTGCTCCTAAGGACAAAGATGAGGCTTTCTACTTCTGAAAAGAGTAATCGTCTCAGAAAATCACAGGGACAGTTCTACTCTGTCCTGTAGGGTCCTTATGAAGTCAGAATTGGCTCAATGACAGTGAGTGAGGGATGATTAATTAGGCATGACATGTCAAGATCTAATGGGGAGTCCACAAAAAAACAGCTAACTCTGGTCATTTAAAAGTTTCGATGATTGTGTGGAAAACTTTTGGGGTTCCTCCAACAGCTGTGGGGAGATTCGAAAGTATCTGTGGCTTCTCCCGCTAACAAGGCCAGTTTTCAGAGAAGTCTGTTGGCTTGTTGCCCTTGCTTGTCACTGAAGGAGATGTGACATTTCTGTTACAGCCGTGACTCAAACATTCTACCCTGTTAAAAATGCTTACGTCTCTCAAAGAGCATCCAATCTTTAAAATTGTGATAGCGTATGCATAAAATTGTAAGTCTACGGTTCAATTACATTGTTTACATCTGCAGTGTTCACCACTCGTCACCACTATCTGCTTCCAAAACCCCAACAAAATCTCTGTACCTGACACACAACAACGCCTCTCTCCGCGGTCCCTCCAGCCTCTGGGGACTCCGTCGCTCTGCGTTTGCCTATTCCCTGGAGAAGGACATCATGCTCGGTCCAGTCGAGGGACAACAAAAACCGGGAAGGCCCTCCACGAATGGATGGACAGAGTGGCTGCCATGATGGGCTCAAACCCAAGAACAATGGTGAGGCTGGCGCAGGGCCAGGCAGGCTTGGTTCTGTGAGCACAGCGTCGCCATGCGCGAGAACCGACTCCCGACCACAAGAAGATGTCTCATGGAAGAGGCCTCATGGGTTCATACAGTGTCTGTCCTTTTTGTGTGCGAGTTCTTTCACTCAGTGTCATGTCTTCAGGGTTCATCTGTGTTGGCGCATGTATCATCCCATCTTATGACTGCATGATGTTCCATGATATGTGTCCGCCACATGTTGTTTCTCATTCCCCCCGAGAGATTTGGTATGTGGGTTGTAGCAATAAATATTTACCACAGAAGAAAATAAACCGAGAAGGTTATAAAACACCAAGGGACAGTGAGTCAGAACTGACTGAAAGGCCATTGTTTTTACATGTGTGCATCTCCCCAATGCCACTCCGGTTGTTGTTGTGAGCAGCTGCTGGGTAAGTGACCCAGAACAACCGAACAAACCACGGGCCATCGTCCCCTGCACCGTCCTCACCATCGCTGTTGCTTCGAGCCTGGTCTGCAGTCATTGCATCCACCCGTCTCTGTTTCTCTGCCTTTCCTGGACCAAGCAGGATGGCCTGTTCCAGGAACTGGTCTCTCCTGAAGACATGTCCAAGTAGGGGAGATAAAGTCTTGGCATACTTGCCTCCAAGGAGCATTCTGGCTGAACATCTTCCAGGATGGCTGTGGTGGCTCGTCTGGCAGTCCGCGGGGCTTGCAGTAGGCGCTGCCAGCACCACGATTCAAGTGCGTCACACGTCCTACTTGTCCAACTTCACTTGCCTGTGAGGTGATGATGGTACCATGGCTGGACTCAGGGTCACCTTGCTCCTCAAAGTGACACTTGTGCTCTTCAACACTTCAAATCAGTCTCGTGCAGTGGCTTTGCCCAAGGCAACATGTCTACTTGCTGCTGATTCCATGCGCCTGGACTGTGGACCCAAGAGAAATGAAGTCCTTGATGACTCCCATCTCTTCCCAGTCTGTCCTGATGTTGTCTGAGGGTCCAGTGGTGAGGATGTGGGTCTTCTTGACCTTGAATTGTAATCCACACTGAAGGCTGTAGTCCTTGAACTTCAGGAACTGCTTCGAGTCCTCCTCGATTTCAGCAAGCAAGGTTGTACCATCTGCATATTGCAGGTTGTTAATAAGCCTTCCTCCAATCTTGATGCTGCGTTCTTCTTCATATAGCCCATAATTTCAGGTTATTTACTCATCATACAGACTAAGTATGGTGAAAGGAGATGATCCTATTGTGTGGGAAACGGAAGAATTCCTCCCAAGTTGTCTCACCCAAATATATGCCAAATTCAACTGCTTGCGAATGACTATACACTTGGAGGTCATCAGGAGTAGATCAGGGGTCATTTTCCCTAAGGGTTATGAGCCATCTAGAGCAAGCAGTCACCGCTGTTTATCCCACAACAAGTAGGGCCCACTCCCTTCTGATAAGGATAGTAGTTGACTGTTTCCATGTAGGAGACCCCAGAGAGGTCATGCCCACCCAAGAGTGACCCAGGTTAGGCCGCCATCATGAATCTAGGGTCTGCCCATCTTGTCACATGTATACTTTCAGTCCCTCCCATTCCTATGAGCACACCCCTAACTCATCCCCCTCCTGTTACGCCTATGCCCATTGTACATCCCCTTCCTATAATGTGTATGCTTATTGTACTGCCCCTTCCTGTGACGTGTGATTACCTGCAATCACACCCCGCTAAGTAGATATAACCCTTGGTTAGCAATAAAGTGGGGCCTCTTTCCTGGTCTCGCAGCCGGGTTCTCCCCACAAGGACCACCAAGCGGGGCTGAGGTGAGCATGCTACCATGAATTGTGTCTGACTCCATTATTTCAATCTCTCTTCTATCTCTCATGCTCTCTTTGACTTTACTATAATCTTTACCTATTATCGCTGTACAGTTGTGCCTAGCGGACCCGTGATTAGTGGTGGGGGGCTGGCACCCCTTCCAACCACCGCACTACTGCACACCTTTCCTGATTTTAAACCATGCCATATTGCTTTTCTTTTTTTGAAAGACTGTCTCTTGGTCCATGTGCAGAAATTCCGAGACTGTACATTTTTTCAAAGTTTTATTGGCTTATAATCCACATATCCTACAATTCAATCATTCAATAATATCAAGAAGAGTTTATAATCCTTAACCACAACTTTAGAACATTGTCTTCTCTCGTACTTATTGTTATTAGCTTCCCAGCTCTCCCCAACCTCTCCTGCCACACCCGCAAGAAACCCTCCATCCGGTTACTGATGCTATAGATTTACCTGACCCGATTTCCTGTACCAAGAAACATGCAAAACAGACCAACAAAAAATAACCAGCAACAATAAAATAAAACAGAGAAAAGCATTCATCAAAACAAAAAGTAGAAAACATGAAAAAGTACAACAACTTTAAAATGAGTCTAAGGGAGAGGGAATGATAAAGTGTTCATTTTTAACCCGACTCCGCCTGCAGTCATCCGATCTGCATGATAGCAAAGCTTCCGTGTTCACATTGCTGCTCCAGCTCACAGGGAATTCACCGGAGGCTTAATCCAATTGTATTTTCATCCTTCGCTTTTTTTTTTTAACTGACACAACTTTCAAATGGGTCAAATGATACACTATTACATTTCTACCTAACTACTATAATTGTCTTTACAGTGTGCTTTGTCTGATAGCAGGCTATTCACCTCCCTCAACCATGGTCAGGGGGAATTCCCTGAAGGCGTCCTCTATGTGTGGACCCTGCGAATGGATTGGGGCGCCCACTGTCATCCACAGCTTCTGCCTGGACGTCCTGCGGGGAGCAGGTACCTACATCTCAGTAGCCCAGTGCTGACCTGACAGTGCAACCAGGGCTTTCTGCCTCTCTCCCCTTTTACTCTTCTCCCCTCCCCCGCGAACCATCACAAC